AAGCTATAGTTTCTAGGAAATGGACTTGCGTAGGGTGCAGTCTATAGGCCCTGCCCTAGGGACAGAAAGCACGTAGTCGCAGCTGCGGGCGCAGTGCACTACAATTGCTAGCTGCCGACCTACAAGAGGTCAAATCGCTGAACGAGGACAGGACCTTCTTACTAGTACCGAAGTAAGGCAATTTATCAGTAGATTAGCATGTATACACTAGACGTGTCTGTGAATACCTGGAGATTGGGGCTGGCGTTAGCGCCGGCACCGGTGCAGGCCTCCTCCCCACAGGGCCTAGGAGGCAAGAAATCCCGAGTGGGGAGGATTTTCAAGAAAATGGATTTAAAAAAAACCAGAAATCATTGCATTTCGTGATATTTGGACTGTTATATCAAGGAGATGCGCCGAACGTAGGTTGTCTTAGGCCCCTACTTGTAGTGCACAGGCACTACAATAGGGCTTGCTGGTGACCTATAGAATATAGCGAGCTGGCGACCTACAAGAGGTCATAACGCTGAACGAGGGCAGGACCTTCTTACTAGTATCGAAGTGAGGCAATTTGTGAGCAAATTAGCATATATACACTAGACGTGTCTGTAAACACCTGGAGATCGGGGCTGGCGATAACGCCGAAGCCGGTGCAGGCCTCCTGCAGCACCTACTGCTGCGACTACGCTGCTACCTGCCCCCCTCGAGTAGGGGACTATGATAACCGTCTACCTTCGGCCCATTTCCTTGAAACAGTAGTCCAAATGTCACGAAATACATGTATTCCTAGTTTTCCAAAATCTGTTCTCTTGAAATTCCCCCCACTCGTGGTTCTCGCCTCCTAGGCTATGTGGGGAGGAGGCCTGCATCGGTGCCGGCGCTATCGCCAGCCCCAATCTCCGGGTATTTTCAGACATGTCCAGTGTATACACGCTAATTCGCCGACAAACTGGCTTACTTCGATCCTAGTAAGAGGGTCCTGTCCTTGTTCCGTGTTATGACCTCTTGTAGGTGACCTGCTAGCTATCTTGTATAGGTCACCAGCAAGCCCTATTGTAGTGCCTGTGCACTACAACTTCTCCCCTTGGCGTACTGAACAGACCTACCCAAAACACATTATTTTTGCCTTTTCAATCTCTATTCTCTTCTGAAGCTAACGCCGTGAGCGCATGCGGTGCGCAGCGCTCCCTCCCGCCTCCTCGTTAAAGGTTGCCCGTCCGGCAGGCGGCGGAAGGTGACGGACCCAAACCTCTATGCCGCGGAAGGACCAAGATTCTTTCAAGCCTGAAGACGTCTTCGTTGGCGGCGGCGCCAAACGCAAAGCAAAGCCGGGCAGCCTGTAAGGTGGTGAGCGGGCTCCCATGGGGCTTAATCTTCAGGGGTCCCGCGCCACTTCACGAGATACTGGGCTTCATCTTCCGAGCCGCGTTGGTCCATAATATAATCGGCTTCATACTCCTCTGTTGGGTTGCCTGCTGCATGGCAGATAGGAGGCCAGGCGGCCTCGGCTTCCGGGAGAACCAAGTCGGGAGGGCGGGGGCGGTGGGGAACTAGCTGCGAAACGTGGAAAACGTTGTGGCATTCATAGGTGGGAGGCAGAGCGAGACGGTAAGCTACTGTCCCTATGCGTTTGATGAATTCAAAGGGTCCGCGGTAATGGGGCTTGAACTTGGAGCAGCTGTTGAAAAGCAGTAAGTGCTTGCTACTGAGCCAGACCTTGTTGTCCCACTGCATACTACACGGCTCGGCGTTTTGTGTCTGCGTAGTACTTCTGCTGCCATTTTGCCTTCAGGATGTGACTATGTGCTCTGTCGCAGAGCTGCCGGAAAAGCTTAGTCATCGGAGGAGTGAGCGTAGGAGCTAACAAGCCTACGATATCAAGGTTCGCAGCAGTCAACGGATTCTCGCCAATCATGGCCTCGAAGGGAGAGAGCTCGGTGGAGGAATGACTTGTTGTGTTGTAATCAATTTCCAAGGCTGGAAGAAAAGGCTCTCACTCGCGCTCGTCAGATTGGATGTAGGTACGAAGAATCTGCTCGAGCGTGCGGTTAACCCGTTCAGTTTGGTCGTCGCTTTGGGGATAGTAGGACGAGGACATGCAGCGTTTGATGTTAAAGCGGCTACAGAGCTGTTGCCAGGTATCCGACTGAAGGCGGGAGTAGCACCTCTGGAAAACCGTGATAGCGGATAAGACGGTCTGCGAGAAGCTCTACGGTGTCTGCTGCTGTGAATGACTTCTTTGCAGGAACGAAATAAGCCAACTTGCTGAGGGAGTCGACCATCACAAGAATCGAGTCGTGCCCTGTCGCTGTAAGGGGAAGATCTGTGATAAAGTCAAGACTCATGTGTGCCCACCGACGAGAAGGGATGAGTAGCTGTTGAAGAAGGCCTGCAGGTTTCTGGTTAGGGGACTTTGACGCTCGACAGTGAGTGCATGATTTAACACAAGCAGTAGTGGAGACGCGCAGTCCTGGCCAGTAGTAGTGCTTGCTGGGAGCCGCAAAGGTCTTTTTCTGGCATCGATGGCCGGCTGCGACATGGTCGTGATGTGAATGCAGAACTTGTGTAAGGAACTCAGGGAATTGTGAGACGCATATGCGCCACAGTCCATGAACGCGGATGTGCAGGTAAGGCGGCACGTAACGAAAGGTGAATTGGCGATTACGAAACTCTCTTTGCAGAGCTTCTCCCGGTTGGTTTGCTGCGGCTTTGTAGGGAGCGCGAGAAACGGGACACTTCGAGTAAGTTTGCGGCCATTGGCGCACATCAGGAATGTTTGCTGGTGTCTTAGGGGTAGGGTGTTCCACCTCTGGATTGGGTTCCGGTGGCGAAGGTGAAGGTGGCGACGGCAGGCTGCGTCGTCACAGTCGTCGCGAACGAATTTCGGGGAGCTCCCTGTAGTTGGCAGGCCGACCACGAGTGCGAAGAGCCGCGCGCGCTTGCGCTACTGCAAGCATTAGGGGTGTTGGTGGTGTGTCGTGCAAGCAGGTGTTAGGAAGACCGGGACGGCGAGTCAAGGGTGCAAATCTGGGAACTCGACCAGGAAGTCTAGCCAGCTGGCGGTGCGTCCTGTGAACTACAGATGCGCAGTGAAAAGGCCTGCACAGAGCTGCCGACTTCTGGTAGTATGGGAAACGTTGTGCCCGATTCCCAGGGCCCGCCCATAACATTCCTCGTCGCAGCCATCGCGGAGTAGAGTTGGTCCCACGTAGCGTACGGACTGTCCCCTGGCGCGGCAGCAACACTGGTTACAGGTGCCACCTGTTGGGCCGCCTCCTTATGCCCATGCGGCCTCTCTGCTACGGTGGGTTCCGGAGTAGCATGACGATGGTGGTCTGCCGTCCCGCCGGGCATTTTGCTTACGGACATTGTAGACGCGTCCTGTTGAGTGCTGCTGATACCGCGTCCGTTGCGTATGTGCATCGCACACCGAGCTAAGCTGTCTACCAGCATGCCCTATTGTAATGCCTGCGCACTACAGCATCAATCTGTATTTCTGGACCTCCACAACCCGCAACTGTGGGAAGTCATGGACACTTATAATTCCACAATAGCTCATTAAGTGCTATTCCTAGAAATTAGCAGCGGCGTGCTATCTTCAGAGTACCACAGGAAGCAAGCGCCGCTGGCTTGGTTGTTTTCTTGTCATTTTCCCAAAGACCACACCAGCATCCACTTCAATAGCCCGTAGACCTACTAGCCTCATGAGACTCCCTGCCGCATCGCTTGAAAGTCCAGGCTTAGAAACACCATAGTTTTAGGAATTAAGAGGTAAGTTTTCTCCACTTGAAAGTTGTCTTTGGAGTTTTGGGGCCTGAAGGAGGCGTGCTCCAGCGTTCATGGAGACGCCCTTTACACAAAATTTGTGGCTGTTATTATGTAGACCTACTAGCCTCATGAGACTCCCTGCCGCATCGCTTGAAAGTCCAGGCTTAGAAACACCATAGTTTTAGGAATTAAGAGGTAAGTTTTCTCCACTTGAAAGTTGTCTTTGGAGTTTTGGGGCCTGAAGGAGGCGTGCTCCAGCGTTCATGGAGACGCCCTTTACACAAAATTTGTGGCTGTTATTATGCCTCTGTGAGATATTTGTTCGGGTGGCTCACAATCCTTGTAAAGCTACAACTTTGAGTACTTGGAGTGTTCTTCCCAAGTGGAGAGGTGGCCTCAAGTGCTCTTTTGCGTCTATCACTTTATTCGTATCTGTTGTATTTGCAGCATAAGATTTTACACTTGTTTTTTAAGCTGTGTCGCAGAAGTTTTATTCCAATTGTATCCACTTAATCCAGTTTCATGCTTCGCTGACCACCATTTTACTAGCAGTAGCAATTACGACAGCATTATAAGACAAAGGCAACAGCTAAATGCAGAATTCTGCACAGCTATAACGCCCCGAATGCTTTGCGCATCGTAAGTCGATAACGAGGCACCACACTAGTGACTGCATCATACAGACATAACAGGGACAAGCAGCCCCCGGTGCTCCATAGAAGAAGTTACCCGAGGGTGCTCGAAACAGGGCCGTTCTACGGCTTGTCACGCATAGGAGACGTCCGAGAAAAATCTGCACATATACCAGCGTCGCGTAAGGTCAAAGGAGCCCCTAGGGCTGAGTCGGTTGCAAGAGTCACGATTGTGGCTTTGACCCCGCCAAATCTCAAGTTGAGCGCAGTTAGTGCTTAATATACGCGTTAAAGGCGCAAAAAACGCCCTACGGAGAGCACTTGATGGGACTCAGGAGCCCCGCCTCGCCAGAGGCGAGGCGGGGCTCCTGAGTCCCTTTTTTGCCGCTTGCACTCTGTATCCGGCACCTTTCCTGCTGCTCCCTATAGAGGCACCGTTAAATTACGCCTTGTGAGCTCGTGTTTCTGTGCAAACTCCACTACGTTTTGTCCCTTTCTACAGCACTGCTCAATGCGGCGGCTTGTATGGCCTCTTGAGGCTTCTAACGATAGTTTCAGCAACACACGACCGCTGTTACTCTACAGTGGACATTGCCAGAACTGAGTTCCTGTGGCATGCTCGATGTTGTGGGTAGCTCACACAGGCCATCATTCAGCAGAGGCCAGCCTTCTGCTGAATGTAGATAGAGCAGTGCGTGTGCTGGAAGTTGTGGGCCCTTCGGGCTTAAATGAAAAGTATATGTATATCGTATAACATTGCGACGTCGCATTCTTAGATCTGTTTTGGCTACAGCACATGGCAAGTTGCTGGGAGGGAGTCGTGTCACCCAAGCTTACGAGGCGGGGGCGAGGAGGGCTGCAGCGCAGCGGTAGGCTCTGTTACTGCAGCTGGCTTTTTCTTGTCCTGATCTCCACAAATTCCTTCTCGCATGAAAACCTCTCCTTCTAGCCTCTCGTTGGTGTGGAATAGGCCTCAGAGACCTTGGACTGAGGGACGGAGGCTGCAGAAAGTAGAGAGCAGCGCTCAGCCGGTCGGCTGCTGCTTCCCCTCGTGGCTGTCGGATGCTGCTTCGCCAGCAAGTCTTACAAGACAACCACAGAAAAGATCCAAAAAGGAGACGGTGTCAATTGAGAGGTTTGAGACAAAGGGTCTCCCTCAAAGCTGCAGCAGCTCCAGCTGGGGGGCCGTCCTCCAGTTCCTCCTTGCGCCTCGCCGTTTAATAGGCTGAGTTTCGAAGTAAGTAATTCCCAATTTATCACTAATCACTAACCAGTATTCCTTCGTAGGAGCCCTTGGGACAGTTTGCGTCCGAGGGAGACCGTAGGGGGTTAAGATATGAACAACATTTTTTGAGGCGGCATTAAGCAGCCGCCGCGTGATTGCCTGGTTCCTTTTTATACCCCCATTTATTAAGAGTGGACACGCCCTGGTAGGCTGTGGTCGAGCAGGGCTGAGGTGGCATGTAGGAGCCCCCCACGACAAGATGATTCGAGACAGATCCACACAGTGCAGTGAGAGGAGAGGCAGTTTCCCTCTCCTTTCTAGACAGCTGGTGTAATAAAGGTTCCGCTACTTCGTAGCTTGTGGGGAGCTTGTGCATATGGCTCACCGCCTGTCAGCGTACAGGCATATCTGGCGATGGGAGTTTACATGGAAGGCTGCGCATGCGTGTGTTTATGTGTGTGTGTGCATGTATTTATGTCTCTGCCTTGCTTTGGGTCTTTGTGCATGTGCTTGTTTGTGTGTGTGGCGCGCAGCTACAATTCCACTTTGTTTTAATTCGCGTGGCCGTTGCGAAATGGCGCAGCAGCTGCCCATACAGCTCACCCCGATTGTAAATGTAAGGCCCTTGTTCTTCTCATTTTGAACACTGCACGCGCTGTGATTAGAAATATGGCACGCTCACAGCGTCACCGTCTTGCGCATGTGCCTGTGGGTCGTGCGTTACGTGCGTGTTTACCACGTCACATGCTTCGGGTGGGGTTCGCAAGACTGTTGTCTGAAATTTATGCATCATCCAGATCTACAGCATTCTCTGTAGTTCTTGTGCGGCGCAGCTGGGGGACATTGGGGTAAAGAGCGCCTCTTTTAGGTTTGGCAATGTGGCGGTGGAAGGAGACAAGCATTTGGTGGTTCGTGATGTGGAGAGCAGTGAACTGTACTTTGTGTCGATGAACCTCAAGGATGCTTTGGAGGCTCCCGGTGGCCCCACTGCATACTCCGTGTCAAAAAAGCCGACACAAGCGGAGGCGGCGCTGCACCATCCCACGGATCCCATAGTGGCTCTAAGGGCAAAAGCGGAGGGTGCGCAGCAGTTAGTGCAGGTTTTGAATCTGGAGACAAAAGCGCGGATGGGTACGGCTCCAATGTCGGAGCCGATTGTATATTGGCGTTGGGTCGCTCCCCGAATCCTCGCCTTAGTAACGGACAAAGCTGTCTGGCACTGGACGCTGGGGGAGGGGACGGAGGCGTCAGAACCCCAGAAGATTTGTGAGAGGGAGGGCCGACTAGCGGAGGGTGTTCAAATCATCGGCTACGCTACAGACAAGGACATGAAGTGGTGCGTTCTGACTGGCATCAGTACCCAAGATGGAGGGAAGACAATCGACGGCTCATTGCAGCTGTACTCAATGGAGCTGAAGAAACACCAACAGCTCGAGGGGCACGCAGCCTGCTTCGGGGGGTTAGTGGCAGAGGAGGCTATGGGGCCACAGCCAGTCATTTGCTTCTCGGAGAAGAAACGGGGAAGCCCAGAATTTAAGCTTCACATAAGGGACCTGGCGCCAAAGAGAGAAGACGGCAAAGCCCCCTTGCGCGTGTGTACAGACATCGCTCTGTCTCCTGATGCTCCCTCAGACTTCCCGCTGGCTGTTCACCTAAGCAAGAAGCTTGGCCTTGTTTTTCTGGTAACCAAAGGGGGCTTCTTGCTATTGTTTGATGGCCTCACCGGCACTCAACTGTTGAGGCACCGCATATCGCAAGACCCCGTATTCCTCACATCGGACTCGCCTCAGACAGGAGGCGTTATTACCGTCCATAAGAAAGGCTTGGTTGCTCTCACTACAGTTAATGTCGGCCTTTTGGGACCCTACATGCAGCATGCTTTGCCCCAGCCTAATCGAGCACAGATCTACCTCAGTCTTGCTAAACGTTATGGCCTTCCTGGAGCTGATGAGGCCCTTGTTCAGGTTCGTGCAGAGCGATTATTGCGCTTTTCCCCATTCTTGAGGCACCTCTCTTTTCTTTTCGCCCAACCATTAATTTCATGCCTCCCTGGCAGCTCCAGTGGGTCTTAATGTGTTGACTATTCATTTCTATGTGCATGATTTGCAGGCGTTCAACCAGCACTTCGCCAGCGGTGATTACAGGGGAGCCGCACGCATTTGCGCCACTCTGAAATCGGGGCGGCTTCGGACCCCCCAGGTTCTGCAGCAGTTTAAGGGGGTCCCTGCACAGCCGGGACAGACTTCCGCTATCTTGTTGTATTTCTCCACTCTTCTTGAGTATGGATCTTTGAATGCGGTGGAGAGCTTGGAGCTTGTGCGCCCTGTGGTGGCTCAAGGTAGGAAGGACTTCATTACAACTTGGCTGAGAGAAGACAAGCTCGAGTGCACCGAGGAACTAGGGGATGCGGTGAGACCTCTCGATATAGCGCTTGCAACTCAAGTGTACAAGAAAGCGAGAGCAGGCCAAAAGGTCATGCTTATGTTGATGGAGCAAGGCAAGACCGACGAGCTGTTGGAGTACGCCACGCAAACCCGCATGCACGCGGACTATTCTTCCTTGCTGCGGTCG